CGGGTGGTGAGTTGGGTAAAGTGAATTGCGCATGGGTTCCCCCGGCGGAGAAGAAGTACCATGCACGAGCTCCTTCATACAAATTCCTAATCTGAGCTAACGCCGGGTTAGGATTACCAACATAGAGTTGGTCATACCCAAACTGTCTGGCGAACCGTGAAGGCATGTAAGGCTCGATTATGCACTTCTCCCGCGAGCGATAGACCAGGTAGCCCAACCTGATCATAAGAAGCCAGCTGAATGTACCCTCTTCCAAAGAAGACGAGCCTTCAAAAAGAAAATCCATGAAGCGTGCATCCTCCACATCAGCTCCGTCAAAGTTAGGAGCACAGCAGAAAACCCGGTAATTATCTTCCCGGGATAGAAGCTGTCGAGCCCTGACTATATAAGAACTAGTCCACGTGGCCGACTCCAATCTCTGTACGAAGGGAGTATAAGCATCATCCCCCTCATGCACTCCCGTCATCAAGGAAGGGCAATGCAACACGAACCAGGCCACTAAATATGTATACGGCATTGGTACACGTGGTTGAGGAGCTTTCCCAGCTTTCTTCTTAGTAGCTTTGACTCCCGAAGCACTGAGAAGTTCTGAAGTCAATACCCTCAGGCCGTTCTGGATACAGCCAACCATAGCAGTAAGGAGACTCACAGGTCTCCCATGCGCTAGCAAAACAGCTGGGTACACAACCTCAGCTAATATTGATTCTATTGGTCTTGACGGTACCACACACCGCTTCAACCAAATCATGAAGAAGCCTGCAAGTAGAGCGGTGTCAGAAATAGGGACTGTGGCTTGGTAGTGGAAACTTTCAAATTCGACGCCAGCTTCAAAATCATCCTCGGCATGCTCAGTCTTATAAGTAACACCAGGAGCCTTAATCCGAGCCTTGGCGTCCTTAAGTGAGACAACTGCGACACGGGATACGACTACATCTTTCCGATTTAAGTTTTGAAAGAGGTAGTCTGCCCAGGTGGTATGCATAATGCCCCCTCCACGCATCCCAAAGACTTGGGCGCATATGTGGAAGTGGCACATCAATTCCCAGAAAGTAGCGTATCAGTGGTGGGAATAAACTCCTCGTAGGGCGTTTTTCCAAGCGGCAGCCCCGACACTGCCTGCATCTCATGGAGAGCAAAACCTAACTCTCCTGCAGGTGTGAAGAATGTGCAGCTGTCAGGGTTATATTTCTCCAACATAGGGAAGAAATTGTGAAGACTCTGCATGACTCCCCGTCGTGTAGCTAACACAGGGACTGTAAGACCCGATTGAGCGAGAGAGTCCTTAAGCTCCTCAAGAACAAAGTCGACCATGCGGGTCCACCAACCTCCTTCGCCAGAACAGACCCATCCAGGGGATCTAAACATCTGGGTAGAGAATTCACCCTGAGTTGCAAGGAATTGGCAGATAAAAATGTTCGCTGGACGTGGCACCTCCGGAACCAGCTCTTTCTTCTCAAACAAACCAGGTTTTAACCCCTTGAGTTGTTCCCCGATTTGTGTACGAGCCCGTCGACCAAATCTAAGCGACACGTTCTCCTTCTCCTTTACTATGTCAAAGGTCAAACCCCGACGACAGCTCACATTCAAAAAGTAAGAGAGAGGGTACATCCTCTTCATGTTTGGGAGGAATAAGAAGCTATTATCAGCTCTCCACAGCAGCTTCGAATCTTCCACATATGTGAGATGGTCATCGACTGGTATGCGGTCTCCAAATATGAATGCTGGTTTGGGAAACTGGTCACGACCAACAGGGGTCTCCAAGTCCAAGTTAGTTATCAAAATCCTGAGAGTAGAGCATTGAGGGAATTTAATCATTTCCGCCCTTTCCGAATCAGGAAAAGTACACAATGGAATCCTGTTCTGAAGACCGAATAATTCATTCGGGTCAGGTCCACCAATATATCCGAAATGGTGCTCTTGTGAAAGCGGCACGTTTGGGAGAAGCACTGCATAATCAAAAGCAGAAGTTAGTAGCTAGAAGCGAGCTATCGACATAAAGACATAGTCAGAAATACAAAGGCTCATGTCGAAATCTCCAACGCGAAGGTCGAGCCTCGCGTCAGAAATCTCCAACGCAAAGGTCGAACCTCACGTCAGAAGTTTCAAAACGCGAGAGTCAACCTCGTGTTGAAAAATTTGAACGCGAGGGTCGAGACCCACATGGGATCCCAACCCCGCGTTTTCATTGAGTTAAAACGAGTCATCTGCCTCGTTATCAAGAACCCATCTAGGGTTTTCAGAGAACTTGCCAAGGCAAGTTATTTCGGTTGGCACTCACCACGACAGGGAAGCCCCCGCAGCAGCGGTGACGACGACGATGTCCCCGCATGAACAAGAGCGCCGCCGGCGTCCTCAGCCGACGGCACTTCAGAAGTCACTCCGGCAGAAGGAGACAAAGTTCGTCGGAGATTTCACTGAAATCAAACGAGAATTCTCGTTCTTGGAAATAGCCGAAAGTCTTGAAAGTCAATTGACTTTTGACGTGACCGTTCAGGTCTAGTTATAACAGCCGTCAAGCTGTTAAGAGGGCACGGGATTCTAGGAAGTGAATCCCAACCATCTCCAAAACGCGAAGCTCACAGTCGCGTTCAAATTTCACAAGTGCAAAGCTCTAGCTAACGTCACGAAGGCTCGAACCTCGCGTTTCAAATATCAAACGCGAAGGTCACCCCAGCGTTGCAATTCTTCTAAACGAAGAACATGCACTTGTAAGCTCACTTAACAGAGTGTTAATCAAGACCTCTTTATTTCTTCAGCAGAATTCAAATTCTCATTGGGTTAATACTGCACCCCAAAATCCACTTATCAATTCTCAAGAATAGAATGATAAGTCTCCAAATCATTGCCAATTTATTAGCTCTCCTCAGCAGAGCAATAAATAACTTGTTTTCAGTGGAGTAACAAACTTCCCCAAAATCCTACTCAAATCACAAGTATCACAATTCATCGCTCCGATGATAAAACACATAGCAGTTCTCCCCTGTGAGACGCTATAATATTCTTTCCCCACAAATGTCACGTTAAAATTACACCTCTGACAAAATCAACTTATCGATTCTCGTCAATAGAACGATAAGTCCTCAAAATTGCCCTGATCGCAATATTTCTTCTGTCACGTTAAAATCACACCTCTGACAAAATCAACTTATCGATTCTCGTCAATAGAACGATAAGTCCTCAAAATTGCCCTGATCGCAATATTTCTTCTGTCACGTTAAAATCACACCTCTGACAAAATCAACTTATCGATTCTCGTCAATAGAACGATAAGTCCTCAAAATTGCCCTGATCGCAATATTTCTTCTGTCACGTTAAAATCACACCTCTGACAAAAATCAACTTATCGCTTCTCGTCAATAGAACGATAAGTCTTCAAAATTGCTCCGATCGCAATATCTCTCTTGCTAAGTTAAAACTACACCTCTAGCATTTATAGACTTCTTTCAGTGTTTAAAGCAAAACATAACACAGGAAGAATTCTATTAGTCAACCCTATTATGGGAGTATTCGTCCTCAGCAGTTTGAAACTTTCTAGAGTTGTCTTAAATGATAATAAAGAGAGTTCTCTGCAACAGAACCATTGTGGAGGTATATTCTAAGTCAGGAATACATCTCAGGCATTTCTCGTGACTTGTATTTAAAATCAAAAAATGATAAATGCAAGAAACAATGAGAAGTCAATATCACTTTTTATTCAAGAACCAAAAGAAAGTGATACAAAACAAACTTTGTTCTTGTCAAAAGAACATTACAGAAGCCAAGCTCACTCATGCATTAAATCAAAAGAGATGAGTTGAGCCTTGAGTTCAGCTAGCTCCGCCTCGTGGTTAGCTCGCACCATAGCTTCAGCCTTTGCTCGGAGTTCATCCTCGCTGGGTATGATGATGGCCGCCATTTCCTTTCTGACGTCTTCCAGAGCCTGAGCTTGTGCATGATACTCCAAAGTACTAGCTGCATTCTGGGTACTAAGGATGTTGACAATGCCTTCTTCGCGGGAGAGTTCAGCTTTCAATCGCAGGACTTCGGCTTCAGCTTCAACCAGTCTGTCCCGAAGCGAATTCATAGAAGCAGTTGAGCGTTCTAGTTCTTCTCGCTTCCGAGTGTTACGCTCACGAAGCTCTGCAATCTGACGCTCTTTTTCAGCTAAGTCCCGTTCTAGCGTCTCTCGGTGTATCACCTCAGCGACCTGAAGACTAGCCAAAGTGGACATAATTTGCGGCTGAAGGTCACTATGGCCCATGGTCTCGAAGCGTTGTAATTTCTCCTCCAAACGAAGGATAATCTCTGAGCAGCGTTCGAACCATTGAGTTTCGCCCACACTCCTGACCCCGTTTAAGCCTGCTTCCAGCAGAGGTCGAAAGGAGTTCAAAGTTCCTTGGCCATTCATCAGGGACTCAACTACCGTCTTCGCAAGACTGTTTAGATACACCAAGGAGATTTGAAGGAATTTAGGTGCATTAGCGAGACTGACAATTGCACCCGAAGATACCCCTTCAGCAGCTGAGATTGAGGCATTAAGATGATGACTAGCAGGCGATCCAGGTGCTGAAGCTGCAGAGGCGATTGAAATGTTCAATTGCGAAGGGCTTGAGGTCAAAGCCATCAATGCTTTCGCTTGAGAAGAGCTCGGCCCAGCCTCCGTTGGGGTGAGTGAGATCTTCATCACCGCTTTTGGTGAAGCAGCTACTACAGAAGAGTCAGGCACTTAACCTTCAGCTCGCGATTAGAACTCCCAGTTTTCCGAATGAGGGAGAAGAATCGCGTGGAACTGATCACCCAAGCTTCTCATGACACTCTTAGGACATTGGTTTCGGACGCTCGGCTTGAAAGCCCAAGCCGTAGGCCAATAGTCAAACCTGGATACCTCTTCGGGGACTTTGTTGACTTTGACGCAAGCACTGCGTATGATGGGGACTATAAGTGGCTGCGGAAGGTTGAGGACCGCAACCTTTTCTTGCCCAATATGGAGAGGATGTTCCCCATATCTTATTTCCAGTGCGCTTCTACTCTGACTTTCTATGGGGTCCGCACCGTTGGTTATAATCGGCAGGTGACAGCTTTACGGCCGAGTTTATTTGCTAAGGAGTATCCCCTTGGCGAAGTACCCAGTCCGGCAAAGACCTTCGTTAAGAGTTTCTTGGAAAAGAAAGGAGAGTTTCTCGCGCAAGGATTTAGAACTCCTGGCTGGGTTCATTCTCCGGCGGCGGGATGGTGGGCCCAGATGACCAAGTTTGTTCTGAAAGAGTTGGAAACTCCTCTTGCCCAAGCTGGATTGCTAGTTCCTGTGCGGGCTACTGAGTTCGGGATTATCCAGAGCCACTTTCATTTCTTCTCCATACTGGAGAAGTATAATCCTGATAGTTGCACTTTCTTCACCCCTGTGGGGGAGCTAGGCTTCGCCCTTCACGAGATGCACGAAGTCTCGGGTCTTATTCTCGGGGATTTGCCGTATGAAGAGTTCGTTCCGGGATCGGCAGAACTCCAGATTTTAAAGAAGACCAGTCCGGAAATTTATGCCACTCTCTGGGAAGTCATGTGTCACTTCCACATTTGCATGCAGCTGACGGGGGTCCGTGGAGGCGCGGCTTCATCAGCAGAAAGTTTTCTTTTCCCAGCTGCTCTTGTCATAGG